GGGGGGGAGTTTGCGGGGAGGGGGCGTGGCCGGCGTGACGGGCAGCGCCCTGCGCGAGTGGGGCAGTGGAAGGGAGGGGGCGGTGCCCGGCGGTTAACGTCAGGAAGAGGGCGGGGCTTCCATTGAGTGGCACGGCTGCTGTCCAGTGAGAGCGGCTGGCAGTAGGAAGGGTGCTCGTCGCCAGCCAATCGCGCGTGGCAACGCGGGGGCGGGGCTTCCTGTGCCGCCTCAGCCTGCGCGCCGGCCGGAGCGGGATGCGGCGCGACGTGGGGCGGCCGAGCCCCCGGGTAGGTGCGGGCGGGACCGGGACCGGGACCGGGACCCCCAGCCCCTCGGGCCCCTCTGCCGGGAGCGGCCCCGCCGGCTCGCGGCGGGAGCCCCGCGCTCGGGGGCGCCGCGCGGCCCCCCCTGTTTATATTGATTCTCCCGTGGTTAAATCCGGTTCGACTCCCCGGCAGCTCCCGTCCCCGGTCTGTGAGGCGGCGTCCGAGGTGTTGAGCGGAGTTCCTAGCTCTGCGCCGCTGTTCCTGTTCACCTGACTGGCCCTTCGCAGCGTCCCTCCCTCTTTGTTTCTATTTTGTTTCCTTCTAAACAGGATACAGTTAATTACTGCAGTGCTGTAATTATGCAGATCCCTACCAAGGTCAGCGCTTTATGTAACAATCCGCATTACTGTAAACTTTCACTTTCGTTTTGCGCCTAATTTTGCGTTTTCCTGGGCGCAGTTTGTGCCTGTGCCAGGTTTCCAGCCTTAACCTTGTCCGGGTGGCCGGGCTSGGGGTCAGGAAACACAAATACTCTRATTTCTTAATGCAGAATGGGCAAGTGCTGCACATAATCCAAGCTAGCAGGGTTATGTCAGCCCTGCACTTTATGGTCGTGTGGAGAGTTGGGGTATTTTTTTTTTTTTGCACCTGCCTTTACTTGTGGGTCTGTAACTTCCTCTGCTGGTAGGATTCTTAGGGCTTTTTTGTATCTTAAAAGTATATCTGGATTTTCCTCAATTTTAATCCAAAATAAGTTTYCGAATTTGACTGGAAGGCTGCCTGCTGGTTCTGATCCTCTCCTGCGCTGTGCTCAGAGTGAAGAATTAGACCAAAACCCATGAGACAGAGAAAGAATTTAGAGAAAAATTGGTCCCATGGTGAATTTTCAGTCTGTGCTTTGTACAAGTGTCACAGGCAGCTCTGAAGCCCTGGGAAAGGAGAGAAGTTTCTCGCGGCCTCAGGCACCAGCAGCCTCCCCCAGGAGGGAGGCCCCTCAGCTCATCCCTCTCCCCTCACCTCGTCCCTGTAGCTGCCTGAAGTCCTGCTTCGTTCCTAGACACGGCTTTCCTCCCAGGCACAGCTTTCTGGGCAGTTCCTTTGGTTTCTGCATTCAGCAGTTTCCTGATAAGAGGTTTTCCTGGTTGGAGCATGGGCAGCAGCGCTTTCTAGATTTAGTTTTCCATGATGCTCCCGTAGAAGGAAGGTTGAAGCAGTTTCAGGTTCAGCAGTTTTCATCCCCTTTTTGTTTAGGCAGGGATTTGCATTTCTAAATGCTCAAAATACTATCAGGGATCACAGTGACTGTTCCATCATCACCTCCATCCACTGCATGTTTTGAGTATGTCCTGATGATAACAACGATGACAAAAGTACTACTATCTAAATTACTCTATCCAAATTTTCTCCTTTTTTTCAGTTTACTTAACCGCTAGCTCCCGTGTTGAGCAACCTTCCTTCCCCAGGCACAGTGGCCACATTGCAGCAGTTAGTGGCCACCAGCAGCCCCCCTGGCCAGCAGGGGCCAGGAACAGGCCAGGAACAACCACGTTCACCACAGGATCACAGCAAGGGGGCTGAACACACAGRACCGGTGACACATCCCACCTCAGGGTGCACAAACACAGGGACTCTTCACTCCTGGAATCAGCCCCATAGTGTTGTTTTTAATCAATACATTCCAATTATTTTTTCAGAAAGCCTCAACAGAGYGGGAATAAGGTAAAGGTTGGGCTCACGGACGAAGTTCTGGCTTTGTCTGTGGCATATCCTAGATACTGCAGGTGAGAGGCTCTGTTCTCAACTAGCTTAGGTATCTTGTCACCTGGAACACATCAAAGTTCAGTTGCTTATTTCTCAAGAGAATTAGAAGTAACTTTGAATTTCTAAAAATCTCTGCTATTAATGTAGTTTGAATAAGAAATGTTATTTTAGCACAGCCTACCCCGTATATAATTAYCAGTCTCTGTCTCTCAAAACACTGCAGTGGGGGGATAACTCCGACCTTCTTCCAAGTTGATGTTTTTCACTTCTGTGAAAATCCTCTGGCGGCCACAGGGTGCAAGTCTGGGCTGTAGCAGCGATGCAGAAACGAACAGTTTGGCTGCAAGAGCAGCCGTCTGCGTTTACAGTTCTGTGCAGTCATGAAGAAAAATACAACTAAGGCCATAAATCCAGTCTAGCTATCTGCATACACACAGTGAAGCCCTCGCTGTAAGCACTTGCTTGTCATCAGTTGTCCCTATGGGCTACATCCATACRGTAGTTCAGGGCTTGGCAGAGGGTGGCAGGGGCACCTGGGGGCTCCGTTTCCAACTGGGCCGTTTCAGCTGCAGCTCTGCACCTCGCGGGATCAAGCACCAAGTTTCTTGCACTGTTTATGTTTTATGTTAGTTTATGTTTTACTGTGATTATTCATTAGACAGAAACTTAACATTGGACCAGGAGGTTACCAGAGGTACCTCGGAGCTAGAGGCACCAAATTTATTTATTTGTTTATTTGGCAGCTACTTAAGGACTAAAGTGTAACTTATTTCGCAGTAAGAGACAGTTGACACAGCTACCAGGCACTGCCAATTCATGGTGGCAGCACCAGAACAGAGTCCACAGGGAAAGCAGGGCTTCTAAAAGAACTGCTAGAAAAATAAAAGACAGGCGAGGAAAAAGCAAACCCAAGAAATGAGACTCTTTTAAGAACTATATATAACAATTGTATAGCAGTAAGTCTGACTTCCTCCTCGCCTTTCTTTCATTAGGTTGTTGCTGCCCCTTGAAGGACCTCCCCTCGCAGCTGTTTAAATGAGAATGTCCCTGGCGCAGAGGGTGCTGCTGACATGGCTCTTCACGTTACTCTTCCTCATCATGTTGGTGCTGAAGCTGGATGAGAAAGCACCGTGGAACTGGTTCCTCATTTTTATTCCTGTTTGGATATTTGACACTATTCTTCTAGTCATGCTCATCGTAAAAATGGCTGGACGGTGCAAGTCTGGCTTTGATCCTCGCAACGGCTCCCAGCACATGAAGAAGAACGTGTGGTATCTCATCGCCATGCTGCTCAAACTGGCCTTCTGCCTTGCCCTCTGTGCTAAACTGCAAGGATTTACTAGCATGAAACTAGTCTATGTGTTTATCCCTTTCTGGGTGCTGCTTATCGGGGGGCTGGTTGAACTGGGATACAACATCTTCTGTGTACAAAGAGACTAAAAGGTGGCTCGGGGCTTCCAAGTCCAAGAATGGCACCGAGTTAAGGGATTATTGAGCTTTGCCACAAGCTTGATCTCTCAATTAGAACATCAGGAACTCTGGAGACTTCATCTAAGCCAGACTGAAAACTGAAAATAGACTTGTTCCATTTTTTTATTTCAGAACTGTCACACATGTTCTTGTAAATAAAAATATTTGTTGAACGTCAGCTGTTTTATTAGGATTTTGTTATTTACTATATCTCTAATAAAATTTAGCCTCTCTGTATCCTTTAGGAGAATCTCATACAAGCAACTACATGTTCTGCTCTAGATCATTCTGCAGACTGGGCAATCCCTAAAACACGACCTAGATTTCTACTATATGTTATTACTTAAGAAAACCACTTTGCATATTATAGAAACTAATGTTAAGTTTGCTTTAATAATAAGTATCAGTTAAAAGCCACTAAATGAGAACAGAAAAACAGGAGTGAAGTGACTTAATGTGGTCTGAATGAGAATCATTTTCACTGTGAAAGACTAAAAAAAGCTGAGCAGCTTTTTTTTTTAAACTGCTAAAATACACCCAATAAAGACTATGCTTATCTTCATATTTATATATGTATATATGTATATATGAACTCACACATGCCTGAACTGTGCAGGATTTTAACAATCCAAGGAAGAGAAGAGTGATTACCTTCACAAATTAAATTGCTACTCCAGAAAGACTTGATTAATTGGGTGAGCTTTTTGGGAAGGTGTTTGTACCTAGAGGAAGTGGTACTTTTAACAAGAAAGTTTGCTTTTTTTTTTTTTTTTTTTTTTTTTAAATGCTCGTAATGCCTGAGTCTATTGTATCTGTTAAGGTGAAGCCTGGGCTTAAAAGAAATATCACCACTCACCGAACTCAGATTGAGCAAAGAAACTTCTAGGCTGCATCTAGTCAAGCAACAGATGCTGTAAGCAGAGCTTTCAGAAAAAGTCTTAGGGACTTCGGCTGCCCCTTCCAAAACCATCTTACCCAACATCAAATATGAAGCAGCTGGCTTTGAAACTTGCTGTATTAGCTGCATTCAACTGCCCCATCCAATAAATAAATAAATAAATAAATAAATAAAGTCATCCTGAAACAGCAGAAATGTTGCTTGCTTGTGGGGTACATGGACATAGATGTCTAAGAGGCCCATGGTCAGAGATTATCAAAAGAACTTAAGTGAAGCCTGTTCCATTCACAGACAATGGATCTCAACTAGAAGTATCGCTGAAAAAAACGATATTTAGCAAGAATGTGTCTGGGTTGCTCTACAGTAGCTGACTATCCTACTTTGCTAAAAGCAAAGCAAGGAGTGATGAAAAACACCCTGCTAATCCCTAGCTGCCAAAAAAAAAAAAAAATCCAGACCCTTTATGACCACCTTGCATGAAAAGGCAAGTACGTCAACTCAAACTTGGCTAGTCCACGCCCAGCTCACAAACGTCACCGTTCGTTTTTGGGGAGTTGAAATTGCTGCYTACAGACCTGCTTGTTCTTTTCCTTCAGCATCTACAGCGAGCAATGCGCTTTTACACCTCTGCTGGTAACACTTCTCCATAGAGGCTGGATCTGTGCCCTAGTTAGGCTTTAAAAATACCTCCTGCCACGAGGGCCCCGGCAGCAGCGGCTCCCTGAGAGGCATCTCTCGCTCGTTACACGGGCCCTTCCTCAACACGCAGCGCCTCGTGCGGCCTCTGAGGACGGGCAGAGGCCAAGGAGGCTCTTGGACCTGGTGGCTGCCATCGTCAGTGGGATGAGACCTAAGGAGCATTTTTTATGAAATGCTTTAAACATGGATGGAGAAGCTGAAAGTGACAGAAAGAGCCACCTTCAATAGAGACCCACCCCCACCAAATCTTGCTGTACCTGCAAACAGGTGACAYGTGCAACAAGTGCAGCTTCCTCAGCCCAAGTGATGTTAAGAGAGTGTTGCAGCTTAACATGAAAACAATGGAAGAGTAAAAACCAGCTTCAGCAGGGCTTGCTCTATTAGCTAAATGAGCCAGGACTGGTGACTCACTTCCTGCCCCTTTAATAAACCCTTTCCTCCCCGCAGGAGACTCCTTGAGGTAAGTTTTACCTAATTCCATAAAATCAAGCCTAATAGTTGCACATCTCCTTACAATTACTGCCTCTAACTATTCATCAGAATTGCTTATCTCCTGACCAGTTTGTTGTTTTGCTTGTAGGCTGCTTCCCTCCCTCCCATCCTCGAAAGAAACCACAGGACAGCCCTGGGATGTCACCAACATGAACAACCCTGGAGCTGCAGCTCCTTCCTGCCGCAAAAACCAACCACCTTCAGCAGCAGCTGATGAGGACGCAGCCACGCAGAAGCCCTCGTGCCCCTGGCTGCAGGTTCCTGGTCCTTCCTGCTGGAGTTTGGCAAGAGGGAACTCCCTTCTGCCTTGGCATTTCACAGCAGCCTTAACACTGACCTAACAGTACATTGCAACATGCTCCTGATCTTTGTTTTGGTGGCAGCAAAACCGCCTTCAGGAAGCTGCACCACATCCAGTGCATTCACGTCCCCTGGGGCCTTTCACAGGTGGTGTTGGGGGAGTTGCAGCTGTTCAAAAGCGCTGCCAAAGAGGCCGTGCTCACAGCCCGGAAACGAGAGCGTTTCCTGCACCCTGTTCAGATCTACAGGCTGAGCTACCCACCGCTACCCAGTGTCTGTGAGGCGGGAAACACAGACTGGAGTGTCTGGCGGGAGCGGAGGCTGAGTGCAGGGCCCCAGCAGGAGGGCACCGTCCCCTTAGCGGCCGCGTACCCTATAGAAGACCCTGTGTCTCACCGCCCTATATGCACCTGCAGGCAGGACTGGGGGCAGGACTGGGCTCGCTCCAGCTGTGTCTTAAACTGTATTTCAAGATCTCGGTGTTCTGAAATGACACTGAAAATATGTATCATTTTTATGGAGATACATATATTACATCATTTATTTCTATTCAGATCAATTATACAAGCTTGAACACTTCAGCATGCACTGTAAAAGAGCATCTACTTTTTGTTCAAGAAAATACTCAATACACATGTGTAAAAAGGTCATGATTTTTTTCCATYACCATTCATATTGCTTTTCCTGATTTGTCACAATCTTAGATTAGTATGAAGCTCGTGTTCTTTTATTTTGTATCTTCAAAAGTACAATTGTGTGATGCATACACCCCCRCCTTCACCCGGCTTTAACCTAACAGTGCTCCGAGGGTGTGTGCACAGGCATCCCAAACTCACCGCCAGGCATGGATGACAACATATGGATGACAAAAAGACCACAGGTTTTAAATAAGAATTTAAGAATTGAAACCAGAATTAAGTAATTTGTCGTATATATATGCACCGTATTACAAAAACAAAGTTTTAAGTGTAACCTCATGGAAATTGCTGTGTACCTTTTCAGGATGTACGTGTGTTCACCCAGTATTTTCCTCAAATGTGTATACCGAATTTTTACATCAGGTCAACTGAGGTTTCAGTTTAAAATGGGGTATACAAATGTATTCATGAAAACTAGATTTGTGGTATTCCCACAAACTTGATTCAAATAACGTGGTACCCACTTCAACACCACATKCCCTGTAGTAAAGATCCTAATTGACTTCATCCTCACAAGCAAGTTCTTTGAACGTAGTAGCATGGAAAGAATAGTGCTGTGTGAGCACACACACCCTTTTTAAAATAACAATAATCTCAGCTAAATTCCAAGTTGTATTAGACAAAAATATTGCACCCTTTCATCGTACCTGTATCTTGTGGCTGGAGTTCACGCTCACATTTCAGTATTTTAGAACTGAATCRATCTGGCTGACAATTTTGCTTGACCAAAGCAGCAAGCTTTTGTAGGCTGAAGCAATTTAAGGAGCTGATTCACTCTTGGACAACAAGACTTCTACTTGAATTAATTCAACATTTTCTCCTCATACTTTTACTCAAGTTGATTAAAGGGTACTATCAATTTGCAGATTTTTCTATTACCTTCATTTTGTCTTTTGCAAGAAAATCAACATCAAGACCAAACAAATTTAAGAAGCTTTTCCAACAACTCAAGCACAGAGTACTAACTTTTAAATTTATAAAGAAATAACTGCTAAGAGACTTTTACCAGCCTGAAATTATTGCATTTCTCAGATTAAGAAGTACTCCCAACTATACCATGATAAAACGTGTACCTGAATTACTGCATGTTTGGCAATTATCAGTTTTGCAACGGTCATTGTCACATTAGTCTTTAACAACTGTGTCCAACTGGCTGCCCCAGCTTTAAATAAAAAAAGTAAGAAAAAGAGGCCTTCATTCTGGAGCAAGTTTTAAGGTAACCACTATTTAGTTTCTGATAAAAATAACTCCCTAGAAAAGCACGTTCTTTGCATCACAGGCCTAAACTGAACCAAGCACTGCATTTTCATTCAGCTGGACTATAACCAACATAAACACTGTAGTCACGTCTTTCTAAATTCCTCCAGTGCTAGAATTTTAATATTAATTGACAACAAAAACTAGCTTGTATATCCAAGTCGGGTTGTAACTAGACTTAAAGTAAAAACCAGCATGACTTAAGTTACCCTGAATCTGACTATCTTTGATTTCATTTATACTGTTGATCCAATAAGAGTATGGGGAAAAAAGTGAGGTGCCCCACAAGTATTTTAGATTCTGAACGATTTTCTATAGAACTTAAATTTTTAAGTTTTATCTCATCAAGACCTTAAGCCATTAGTGGAATCCAGCACATGTAAGCCTAAAATTATTACATTTTAGACATTATCTGGTAAGGAAAATGTATCAAAATGGTTATTCAAAAATAAAACTTGATAAAAATAGAAGTTTAATCCAGCGTTTTACTCATTGGTTGAATCAGCTTATCATAACTGCACACCCAGTTATCAAGAGACTCGTGTCCTCATCAGCAGGCCCATCTAGCAACATGCCCAGAGCACGAGAAGACCAATGTTTACGTGGCACTTCAGTACAGCACAGACTCGGAGCAAATATTCCTATCACAGCACAACAGAAAACAGTAATTAGAACACTGTGAATTTGGAGCGCATATATCCCTGATTATTGCAATCAAGTTAGTAACACAGATCTTGTGAAGTTGACCGTTGCTTTTGGGGGAGACACTGCATATGGTATAAAATCATTTGCATTTTTAATAAAAAAAACGAAGTTGTGATTGGTTAGAATCAAAGTTTCCCAAGTCTTCCAATATTTACTGCAAATTCAGTGGAATCTGCACAAAATATCATCTATTATATAGCTTTTTAAAGTGCATTTTGTCCAATTAAGAAAGTACTGAATGGACACGAGTAAAACAGGGACTTACAGTCAAAGAAAGGCTATTTTCAAGCACGCAATTCCCAGCCAAGTGAATACGGATGAAAATCTGTCCTTTCCATTTCCAATTTGCATTAAGTTCACAGTTAGGTCAGATAGACTGATCTGCCTATGGGGAAGCTTCTCTACAAAATCTGGCTGCTAGAAAAATTACTGAAATGACAGCTGAGAAACCTTTTTATCATGTGATTAGAATTTAATAGCTTTCATCCCAATACGCTCATGTTGCGGTCTACTATCCTTAAACGTTTTTATTAYAGCTTTTTGGTTTCAAAATGAGCTTCAAAGTGAGCACAGGAAAGAAAGGGGTCTCTATTTTGATCAATTTAAATKATCAATTCAACATTATCTATTTTGATCAATTCACATGCAAATACTAGAAAAATAGCYATTCTCAATCACTGCATTCTTTTCCAATATTTCTTGCAGAAATCAATTTTCCAAATTTGTGATGTTCTGCTCACCTGCTTCACAGTAGCCTACCATTTTATTTCCATTTTGCACAGTATTTGCAATGCCAATTTATTAACTCTGCTTAAAATTCAACTTGACTTTAGCGACCAAGGAATTCCTTCCCATCTGATTACTTCAGTCACCCTCTGAAGTAATACTTCAATGCTACACAGAATTCATCTCTTAGGTAAAGTAGAATCAACATTTTCAATACCAGGAAGGGAAAATGTGCATGCCAGTGGTAGCTGTAATGAAAACACGGTTTCAGAGTTAATATGCAGGCAACTTGGRGCCAGGGGATGAAGTGACACCAAGTAACACTTGTCTGCAGCACAAAGTGAGCTGGCAGTGAAAAGGGAAGYTGCTGCCACTAGTAGGAACTACCCACAAATAAGGTGCCAGTCTCTAGGGAAACATTTCTGAAGTTCTGCACATCTCAGCTTTAACGGGAGCACTACTGCAAGCCCGCAGGTTGAATACCACTGCATTAGAGTCAATAGGCCTTAGGCAGATTTATCCAGTCTGCAGAAGAGCAAAGAGCCAAAAGAAAAACCTAAAATATGGGAAATATCATTGAAAATAAGTTAATAGAAAAAGCTCTACATAAAACTGAAAATCCAGGGAGGAAGCAACAAGCAAAGACTAATTCCAGTACATCAGAAGGCATGAAAGATTTATTGCTGAAGCAAAAGTCTGAAGTTGTATGTGGCAGGAATAAAAATTATAGCACAGGACCACTTGAAATCAAAGCAAGACTTTTGTCAGACAAGTGAACTATTTGGGAGCCAAGATTCTCAGAAAAGGTACTCCCCTCTTAAAAAGCAACCACATCAAAATGATTACATTACAGGTAGAGGACAAAATCAGCTTTTCTTTTTTAAGCAAACTAAGAAGTATATATTAATATAGTTACTCAACCCAAAATTTTTACACCTTCAAATACAAAGGAAATTCTCACAGCAATTGGTAATTGCAGCTCTTCATATTTTGTTCACAAGGAATTCTGTCCACAAATTGGGATTTAGTTTGTCTCAAAAAAAATTAAAGGATGCTGTGAGAATCAATACACTTTAAAACTCTGAAAAAAAAATCAGGTTGCTCAGAAGAGGCAAAGTTGCAGAGCCATGACACACCTGAGCAGCTACGGCTGAGGCCAAGAGAGTGAGCAGGTTTTTAAATGGGGGGAAAAAAAAGTGGGGGGATTAAGCTTGAAGTGCACACATATATATGTGCTAAACTATTTCTAAAGATCATTTTTTCTCAGTATGGACAAGACCTGTGATGCAGAACATGGTTTGTCAYTGGGGATATGCATATTTTTTAGTAAAATCTGAAACTAATGAAAAATGTTTGAACCATAACAAAGAATCAACATGGGATCACCAGTGTATCAATGAGACAAATCASCTAACAAATAAACAACAACAAAACCAGCATCTGCGGAGTAAATTTGATGAAGCTGGAGCCCCCTGCTAACCCACCTCATAAGCTGCATGCCTGGTGCAAACTAAAATGTGAACCTCTTCCCTTTTCCTRTTCTCGGACAGCTGGCGCACAGAAGGGAAATGGAGGCTACAAACTTGTGCATGTGCTCGTGAAGCCACTGACATCACGGGAGGAAGTTTACAGAAAACCCAGAAAACAAGAGGAGCTGAGATTGTATTTCTGTTGAGAAGACTCAAGGTAAGTGAAATAATTTGTTTTTCAAATCAGAACGTGCTAGGCTAATATAACTTACCATGCCACACGAACCACTTGCTTATGGAGTGAGAAAAAAGCAAGATCCCTGAGGCTGCAGAACTGGTAGTAATTTCTTAACCAGCATTAATGAAAATAGCAATGACTCTTAAGGAAATAYTAGCCACATCCAAGAGTTTCTATTGCTTCTCTAATACGTAGTTATGGCTATGCAGGAGTAATGCTTAGGAATTCAAATGTTGATTAACAATTCCTTGACAGATCTATTTCAGATTAAACAAATTAGGGCACTCATCAAGTTAAATGCCTGATGCCAGTGCCATGCATAAGTATGAAGTAACATCTTCAATTATACCAGCCTTGCGAGGAAAACACATTTGCAACAATGAAAGGGCCTCAGGTAGTTGGACTAGACATCGCCTGGAAAAGAAATCACATTGGTCTATTGCTACAAATAAAGCCAAAAGTGATCATTAAAGTGTATCAAAGGTTATAACTTGGGCACAAAAGGATGTACTTTTAGCAACTTATATGGGAAAAAAACAACAAYAAAAAAATCAAAGATACTTAAAAAGAACAACAGGCTTAGGATCTTAAGTTTTAAATATTTAGTTGAAGGACACACTGCAGGGCAGCTTACTGCTATCTGTAGCTACCTGAAATAGRGTTCAGATGTGTTTGAGCTATACAGCAATATGTTACACACAGAATTAAATAAGTTAAATTACAGAGTGTTTGCTATTACCACATTGGATGTTAGCTTAGCCTCAAAGTCTTCTTCCCTCAGAATACRGCTTGGCACAACTAGCGCTCTAGAAGCGTGCGGTGAGGTGAGCAGGTAACTTGGACGCCATGGTTATTTTCTTATTTAAATAGCTTTTACTTCCAAACTGAGACTCATGCGGAGTCTTCCTACTGGGAATACTGGTRAGCATCTTTATTGCCTCACACTACCGGCGTATGGAGCAACTCAGATGCAAACACGCCTCGGGAGTTGTGGGTCGCTGCTAAAATGGAGGCCATCCTGCAGTCAGAAATAGTTTCTACCCTACTTTAGTCAGCTAAGTGATTCAAGAAAACAGATCCCCTTCACATTTTGAAGTAAAAGCTCAACTGTGGCCTGTAAAGGGCAGAAAACRAGCACCCGAGGGCGTCTGCTCCCTCGGCCCTGCTCACCCACAGAGAGGCGGCCACCACAGCACAAAATGGCGGGCGGGAAGGGCGGCCTCTCCGCTCCCCTGGCCACAGCGGTTCAGGGAGCGCCTCAACAGTCAGAAACCTGGCGAAGGGAGGGCTGATCTTCCACTCTGAATATTCTCGATTTACAAGGAATGCCTCAACTCTACCTTGGTTTGCTACAGCTCCTCGCTCCGGAAGGGAGGAAGGGCATCCTATGCATTAGTGCAGGTAGAAACATAACCATTTAAAGAGGCAGCTTTAACTGAATTATTTTTTTGCAGACCCAAAAATAAAACCAATTTGTTATTATGAACCTTTATTAAGCGGCTCACATTTCAGTATAAATCACACTAAAAAGATTTTTAAAAAAGATATTTACACTACAGTGCTGACACATTTAAAATGAAAAAATTGGTATAAATAAGCTCTATGGAAAAGCCTGGAATTGTCAAAAAGAATTCTGGCTCATCTTACAAAAAATATATATGTTAAATGTCAGCTCTACTCTAAAACCTACAACTCAAAATTATTTAAAGACTTCTTTATGTTAAACCTGCAGTGTTTACAGTGCATCTGGCCCTAAGTGCTTTGATACTTCACAGTTATGGACAGGCACTGAGGAATGTTACAAAGCTACATAACTATTTTCTGTAACAGATGCGAAGACAAGTCACAAACTTGCCCCACAGAATTTTATGAATCTTTACATTATTACGTCATTAAGTTTAAAAAGGAATTTAAAACCATATATACAAATTTAGCACAAAAAATCATCCTCTCTTTGTCCATGCAGATTTGGATATGACGAACTGTGTTGTCTCGTATCATCCGGGTGTATGTGACTTCCAGGACATATCTTGTCTTTTATGTCCTTGTTGCCAGGTTCAAATTTAGAATCCACTTCAAACTTAAATGGTGTCAGCTCAACGTGATCCAACCTAGTCTGAACATTCTGGCCCTCCGTGTCATTAGGTGCCACTGTCTTTCCGGCCAGATCAACATTCATGGATTCTTCTTTTACTCGGTGAGATGCAATAGGTTGATGTTTTATTGATGTAAGTTCCTGCTGCAGATACTTTGTCTGCAGAGTATCTGAAAATTTGGTGTCTTCGGAGGTATTTTTGCTTGTCGTGCAAATTCTGTTGTCTGTCTGAAGTCCAATAACCGAAGACTTGGGGTCTGCAGATGTTCCTGCTTCAACAGTATTTGTATTTTGGGAAAGTTCTTCCTCTGAATGATACAGCTTGAGTCGGATATGCCAAGCCAAGCTGCACACAGCTGAAACTGTTTTGAACTGGTGTACAACATTCCTCGGAATAAAATAAATGTCATTATCAAATAATTGAATTCTGGCATATCGAATACCTTCCCTTCGCAGTTGATTAAGTTTTGCATCATCAACCCACTGGACACACTGAAGGAAAAAGGAAAAAAAGGAGTTAATAAGTCTATTTTAAGATGTATAAAGGATATCTGATTATCAGTTCATTGTGTTCTTACCTGTGAGAGTGGAGGCTCGTGCAAATCTAACTGCATTCGCTGAACTACCTCCAAGAAGTCTTCAGCGTGAAAACAAATTACATCTTTGGTTATACGAGGCTGCTCAGACCTACTGAAAAAATAAGAATTACAGAGTCAAGGGCTGAAATTAAAAGGTACAGAGAATAATAAAGACAAAGTGCAGGCACGGATAAAGTAAAAGYGATCCCAAAAAAATGACACTAGCATAAAATACATTCTGAAAAAAATAATATTCACTAAAACAGCTACTTTTCAACACACACTTGTGGAACTGGTGAAATGAATCAACCACAATTTCTCTGCAAGTGACAGTAAAAGAAGTCAATGAGACTCAGTACTTCTGACGTCCATCTTTCCTGATGCCGAAAGGCAGATGCAGACAGGATCTGCTGACTCTGCCCACACACTGACAGTCAGGTTACCATGCAATAGCCTGACTAGCACCAGAACAAGCTCTGCTCAGTATCTGTCCTGAGCACCTTGTTCACACTTGACAATGAAACCAAAACTACATTGAACTGCCACGATACTAATAAGCAGCAAGTACCTGCATCCTCCATAACATCCCTTAATGAGAGTATTTGTGWTCGCTGGAGAGCTACAAAAGAGCAAAATCTAAGTTATGGTTTGTCTCAGTATTCAAGTTGTTCATGAGAGCCCACGTCCTGTCTCGTGGCCTCCCTCTCCCTCGGCCCAAACACACACCACCACTTACACCTCCCCCGTGAGGCATCATCATCTCTAGAATTGCTGTTAATGAACAGGCACCGATTTACAMGTTAGGGGAACTCTCCAAACTGAAGAGACACGTTTTAGGTCATGACCTCAACAGAGCAAAAAAAATACACAGTTTGAGACTGTTTTCAGGTAAACAAAAATCCCAGTTCAACAACTTAAGGTATCGGATAATTTCCAGATCAGGTTACAATGAAAACTGAAAGTAAAACATCTCCCCACCTTTTGGTTCTACACACCCCCAAAGAGCAGTTAAATACTAAAAGCAAAAAGTCCACAGAAGCCTCTATGATCACTGGCATCAAACACAGCAGTGACATCATTCATCAGTCTCAATTCTTCATAACACATTCATGTTTTTATTTTTTAGAAACAACAGAAGTCCTTACTACAGGGCTGCTTGAACAGCTTTTGTCATTTAAGTTTTTCTCTCTCTCTCTCTCTTTTTTTTTTTTTTTTTGACTCAGATCACAGGTTCCTTCCATCAGTATTTTTGATTTCTTGCAGTCTGGTGGCACTAACCAGTCTCCCATGACTGCTTAAAGACACCCCAACAACTTCAAGTATTGAAATACAACCTTGAGAGCCGTCCTGCTGCCGCACGGGGAGAGCCTGAAGTCAGCCAACCACGAGGCCACAAAGCGGCTTCTGCTCTGTGTAAAACTGCCCCCAAATTTCTCTCAAGTAAAATCTTTGGTTTTACTTTCTTTTTTTTTAAACTTTATTTTTACATTACAACTTCCCATGATTTAAAATTTCACAAGCATGCATGCCAATAGCAGCCAGAGCACTTCAGCATTTTTTAAATATTGACATAAACATGATCACAAGGTGTTCAATTTAAAACAAATGTCTAACTCATCTTTGGGAAAACCTATGTTTTATTCTTCCAAATGACATCTTTTTTTTCTAGTTCTGATCTCTATCCTCAAAAGTATGGTTAATTTCTTTAAAAAAATCTGTTCCTGCCTTTTCTGAAAGATGCTATTTATATCACCTTAACAATACAGGCATCTATCCTACCTTAATATACATGCCTATCAACCACTAAATTCTATTTCCTTTAAATCTTCRAGAACTCTGGATTGCACCATTTCCCCCCTCTAAATCAGTTAGCCACTTAAATTACCCTTGCCATCCAAAAGGGACATGGTCTGTCCCAGGGAGAGCACAGCGTCCCCTTCTTTAGTTCTTCAGCTCAAGCAGCCATCAGTGTTACAACCCTCACAACTATCAGCAAGGACAGGTTCTTTCCCTGGGGTCCAGCAACTATCCCACGCTATGCAATGATTGTTTCAGAAAAGAGGTGAAAGGAAGGAGAAAAAGAAAAAAAAARRAAAAAAAATAGGCATAGGACTCACATCCCCAGTCTGGGCAGCACTTAATGGAGTCCATAACTGGGGGAAGCAACTTAGCTGATCTGCTGCCTGTTTGTTCCCCTCTGAGCACTACAAAGCCCCTCTGCAACCCCCCCTTCGTTTCCTTTCTCCACACACCCAACAACTGAGGCCAGCAAGTCCAGCACCGGCTTGACTTCCCTCACAAAAACCAGAACTGGACTCTTCTGTGTASATCTCCGTCACTGAAACACGGGCCTTCCAATTCCTGCAATGGTCCTAAAAGCCCTTAAAACACCTTCCAGGTTTTAGTTTTGTCACACAATGTATACAGATTTTTAAAAATTGATACTTAAAATTTTCCAACCATGTTGCTCTTCTTTTAAAGGAAATTCACTCACAGCTGAAAATTTATAGTAAAAAAATAACAGCTAAAAGTAATTTCAAGTTGAACGAAGCAATGCTGCTTCACTATCATCAGCCCTGATTAATGCTCTCGGTATTGGGAATACAAGCTCCTCTTCAAAACTACACACAAACATGTGGAAAGGGAAGAGAGAAGTTATCCCCAAGATCAAATCAAACTTGATATATGTATTTTTTCTGTGTTGTATACATTTTCCTCTTCAATATATGCAAACTCTAAACATAATTCTATATTTCAATATAAAAACAGAAAATATATATTTTAATGTCCTGTTTATAGTTTGGGGTTTCTTCCCCACAACTGAAGTACTCCTAAGTTGGCTGGGCAGAACTTCTGTCTAATTTTGACTAGTTTCAGATAAAAGTAAATAATTTAAAAAGTTAAAATATACATATCCCTATATATATGAATTTGCTTTATAAAAACATATATATAAATATAAAAAATAATTCCATTCTTTTCTTTAAGCTTATACAGAATTTAGTAAGTTTGCTTAGACTCTTTCTGTGAGAGATTATGCAAGTTAAAATTTTAAAGAATAAAAAACAARAAAAATGGAGGCTTTTTTGAATATAAATGAACATGCAATAATTTCTAAGGGAGAAAAATCTTACTTTGGAATGGCAAGTTGCCATATACATTTAAACTGTCATCAATTTAAATTCTTAATTTCCAGAAGCACTTCATTTAAAACAAACCCCAAACAAAAAACACCCACAAAGTCTGATAGCTTTGAGTGCCCCTTTCTCTTATGTCTCAAGTGTCATTTCAAGCAGGGAGTTGAGCCCCAGCTGGTACCAAACTGGAGAGGAGAGGATCGGCAAAGCCCTCAGGCCCATCACAAAACACATCAACATGTGTTTAACATTAACACCCACTTCTCTTTGCAAACTGGTCTCAATGAATTTGTGCCCTGTCACACACATTTGCATCACTTCCTCCAAAGGGAAATCAAGTTTTACAAATCCTACACATGAAAACATAAAGAGCAAAAGCTGATTATTCTGTTTGTTTGAAGCAGGAAAAACTTACCTCTGAAAACAATGTCATCCTCCCACACCAAGATTACAAGATCTTGAGAAGAGATTCAGATCAGTGCCAGGGGCTTTTTATCTGAATACAATATAAACAGCTTCTACTAACCCAGATGGATTTCCTCCATCTCACGTGGGAAGGAGAGACTAAAGAGTACCATACAGCCTCCCTCAGGATTCTTCTCATGTGATTTACCACTAACAAATCGGGCTTACTGTAGTCACTACTTAGAAAAACAGAGTTTTTATTCTTCTGCATCTCCAGAAAGTGCAAAGAATTGCCCATAGGGCAAGTGCATCTCGGGTATAGAAATTCAGGTCAGTTCACTAAGTGAAACACAACATAAAATGTTTTTACTCTAACTCAATTRTATCAACTCAATTAGAACTATTAAAGTACCACAGCAAGGCACCTTGTTTCAACCACACATCAAAACAATCTAGCAAAGGGAGCATATGTAGCTCAGAGAGGGGCACAGCAGCTTCCAGTAGTTACTACGTCTCCTTTAAATCTACAAACAATACGAACTTACTCACTACTCCTTCTACTTTTTATAAGTGGAATTTCAAGGAAATATTTTTCAAGGACACCACATACCACTCTCCACAGTGCACAGCCTTCAGCACTCCCACAGCAGCTGTAGTCTGCCGTTCAAAACCTTGGCCTATGTGATCTGCGTGGGCTCGCGTCCGGTCCTCAAAGAGCATTTCACGGGGCTCACTGGTTCGAGGTAGGTACTGCAAGTTTTTTATTTCATTGGTAGTTCTGCGGAGGAGAAAAACAGATATTTACTATTTGGGTTTTATACAAATAAAAATACACGTATTACTTCACTTCTTCCTGTATCATGCATATTTCCAGCAAACAGCTAGAAAGAGGTGCATGTGTATTTAGTGAAAATTTGTAGGATATAAAATTGAAAGCAACAAAAGACTTGGTCAACATTTAATAAAAATGGAAGAAAAAAAGAAAGCAGGAATAGGGTGGCAAAAACATTTATTGGCCAGCCTGAATCTACATTAATCTACATTATATGACCATAATACTTTACTAATGCCAAAGTCAAGGTTAAGACTCACTTATAATGAGTGGAAGGGATCTCTCAAGACCATCTAGTCCAACCTGTCCTCACTACACTAGAACAGGCTACTCAAGATCACAGCCAGCTGAGTTTGGGTATCTCCAAGGATGGGGACTTCACAACCTCTCTGGGCAAACTGTTCCGGTGCTCGACCATGCTGACAGTAGAAGAGACTTTTGTCTTTGTGTTTAACAGAATTTCTTGTGTTTCTGGTTGTGCCCATCACCTCTTGTCCTGGCCCTGGACAGCACCAAGAGGAGCCTGAGCTAACCATCAGATATTTAGGCCCATTGACAAGGGTCTTCTGAGCCTCCTTTCCTCCAGGCTGAGCACTCCCTGCCTCTCCTCACACGATGGGGAAACGTTCCAGTTCCCCAGGCATCTTCACGGCCCTTTGCTGATGTCTGATGTCTGTCTCTCCTGTCTTGGGGAGCCCAGGATTGGATCTTACACTCAGGGCTCAGCTGCCTTCCACTCATCCACCRAGCAAGTCACTTCAGTGCAAGCTTTCAGGGTGGTCAGACACGAATCCCCCTTTGAAAATCCAGGCTGATCCAAGATGATTTGCTCCATCACCTTTCCCAGGAACACGGTGAGTTCTCCAGATCTTTCTTCCCAACCCCCTGGAAGGTTTCAGGGGCATCTGCTTTATTCCAGTCCTCAGGAACTGCTCCCAAATGCCACGATCATTTAAAGACATCAGCCAGCTCACTAGGCACTTGTGAGCGTGTCCCAGCAGGGGCCATCAGCCTGGGTACATCCAGTTTCTTCTCACTATTCCCTAACCTGATCCTACTCCAAAGATAATTCCTCYTGGCTCCAGACATTCCCTCTGGTCTGAGGAACGTGGGATTCCTGAAGACTGGTTATATATATTGGTTGAAGACTGAGGTGAAGACAAATTACACTGATTGTCTTGGCCTTGTTTTCTGTCATCCTCCTTTYACTGCTGCTATGCCTGCACAAGGCCTCCTTCCCGCCCCGTCACATTCTTCTCAAAATTCAACTTCATATGAGCTTTGGTTTTCTTATCTTCCTATCTTCTTCTGGTTTTCTTATCTTCTTACCTAATCCCTTATCACTCGGTTTCTTCCTGGGTCATTTMACTTTCCATTGCTTGTATGTGTCCTTTTCATGCTCGAATTTTGAGAAGAGCTCCAGGATAAACTTAGAGCATATGAGAAATTACATCAAGTTCTGCAGAGGGCAGGCATTCTTCTTAAGTCAGTACTTACAGCTAACGTTACAGCAAGGCTTAAAGACAGCATTAGTGCTGGAGGTGTCACCTTTTATGTGATTGAAGCCCTTACACCTAGAGAACTTTAAAGATCAAATCATACCTGGTTTTATGTGGTTTATATATAAATATATACACAGACACACAGCTGTTAATGTATCCTGGCAGTTCTAATCTCAGCAGCTGCATACAGTCTATTTGCATTTCCCCATGATCTTCCCCTCCCTGCATGAGGAACATGAAGAACATTTAGACTGCTCTATAACCTTAAAGTCTTCCTAAAACTCCAAGGAGGACTGGCATATCATCAGACCTGACAGTAAACAGGGCAATAAAAACAAACAAAAAGCCCTTACAAAACAGAACAGGTTGAAAGTTTATTCTGAGATCAAGATTTGYGTAAGTTTATACCAAAATAACTAGTAAAATTATGTCTTAAACTCAGATATCAACCAGTAAAACGATCAGATAAATAGAGATGGGAAAGAACAAACACTAACAAGACACTCACCAAGCACGAGTACTTCAACRTACCTCTTCCTTTTGAAAGGTGACTTTGGCATGTCAGCCACAGGGATCATCTGCTCTCCTGGACGTACCCACATGATGGGACCATCATCACTGTCTTTACGACTCTCTAATTTTAAACTAGAAAGTGTTCCCCACGGCAGTGTACACTAATAGAAAATACAAGCCACAGTTTTGAAGAGAGTTACTTGAAAAATGTTTTTTTAAAGCAGCCTTTACCTGACACAATGAAAACATTTATGATGCAACTCTAAAATATCTAAGCAAGTATCACTCACTTTCATGTGACAGAATTTGACAGAGTACTAGCCCCTTCCAGCCACCCCATCGCTTTCTCTCCTTACTTTTAAGAAAGGTGATTCTTCCAACATATCAAGGAATTCAGGAAAGTAATCCCCCACTTCCTCATCAACTGCTCCAACTAGGCTGATCTGTCTCATTGGGCCAGCTCTATAAGTACCATGAGAGTATGTTCTTTTTACCTGGAAACAGAATATAACAGGCAACATTATACTGAGTTCATGACAGATAAAATTGACATGCAATAAACATCTTTAATACCTATGCTTATGTTTCCTCTGATCAATATTTGTCCGACAGAGTCCACGTGATACTCAATGTGAAGACAATCACTTTAAAGACAGACCAGACAAGTAAAGATACTTGATAACTTATTTTATGCGTTTTAATTCTGAACATAGAATTGAATAACTATTACCTTTCAACTCTAACCAACTTTTGCACGTTTCCTGTAAGAGCTATGCCATGGCAGGGAGCACACGGATTTACAACTAGGGAGATGATGAGCAATTCCTCTGCTATTTGTCCTCCCCAGTAGGTCACTCTTGTTAATGCAGACACAGGAACTTGAGCTAATTATCACAGTGAAGACATGGCCCATGAAGAGCTAGCACAGAAAGCGAGTGACAGCCATTCCTCTAGTTTTCCCTGTGCTGTGTGTGCTGACTCTTCTTGCTCTCTCTTTGGATTTAAGAGGCCACGGTCACTCCTTTATGAAGGAATCTTTATTTCGTATTTGCACAGAAACAGACACRATTATAAAGCTTCCTGAAGGCTCTGATCTGTGATGTTATGTGACCAGAATGATGAGGCATCAGACTGAGGAGGATCGCTTCCCCCTAAGCTTCTGATCTCTTGTTTAACAGGCTGAAAGACACAGCGGTCTTATTAGATCCAACAAGAGAAAMGCAAATGGATTATGGCGCAAAGCAGTAAGGTGCTTCTCCTACCCTGCATCTCTAGACATTCTTGTGTCTAAAGCTAGAAAAGACACAGGAAAAACAAATAACAAAATGTCTTCACTGCTTCCGTCATTGAAACAGTTGATGTGTTTTTTGTTTTTTTTTTTTTAAACACCGACAATGCAGAGGAGAATTCAGAAAAAACACACCCACACATCAGAGCACAGAACAATACTGTGCACTTCTGAGCAGCTGAACTGACTTGATAAAGACACATTCCAGCAATACAGAACTAAATCCTTTTCAGATCACCAGTGACACAGCAACGAAGCCGAGCACTAGCTAGACATTTCACAGGTTTTCCAGGGTGTCCGCACGTCTGAGCCAAGGCGGGAGCAGGGATGGCACAGGGGCATCTGCCCCTCTTCTCCACGGTCTCAGTCACGCATTCAAGGAGCTGCTTTGCACCAACACCCGCTGATCCTGCCATAAACCAGCAGCAAAACACGACCTCCTGCTGCATCTCCAGCAGCTCAGGCTATGACTGCAGGCATCTCTGCACCGGACCAAAGTGGTGGGAGCTCGAGGACTAAAGGGGTCTGTCCAGGACAGGGCCTAGGAAGGGACTCGCTCCTCACTACGGGCTCACTGGCTACACCAGTTCAGAATTACCTTATGAGCTACAGAAACAGCCACAGATCCATCAACCGCAGTCTGCTGACACAAACTGAAGGTGCAGGATGGCTTTTTCCCCCAGCATTAACAGTTGATATTCTTCCGTTCCAGGCAATGATTTTCATGTGGCAAAGAGCCCACAAAGCTCATGAGAGGCAACCTTTCTACTGCCTTTTCCCCCTGCCTCTTTCTGCCTCCACAACCACTCACGTGGCGCACAGGGAACTTGGTGGTGGAACCCGGCCAGCCCAAAGCTCAACCATCTCCCCAAAATCAAATCCCTGGTGTGAAGTCTGGGGAGGCAGCAGAGCTTTTAGCTGGATCTGCTCACTCACTTGGCTGCTCATACATCATGTTGGCAATAAAGCATAAAATTAGCAGTGAAGTGTTCAAGTGTTTAAGCTCTTGTTTAAAGCAGATTAATTAGAAAATTGCTTATGTATGTTCCCCAAAAGATCATGTCACTTCACGTTAAAACAGAAAAACCAGCTCAGCTCTAAGCATTAGTTGTCCACGCCAATTCACTCCTCACTCTTCCAACCAATTACATYCCCCTCACTCATCAGACAGAAGAGATTTCAATTGAATATCCAGGTTGGGAGAGCAGAAACACCAGATATTTCTGGTAAGACAAAGCTAAGACAAAGATACAAATGGAGCGGTTCTTCCCAGTACAATATTCAGGAGTTGTAACATCAGAAATATTCACAAACATTTCACAACAAGAAGTCAAAAAATCCACACTGATGACGAGACACACACACACACACATATATATATTTTTCTTCTTTCCTGACAGAATTAGGGTTTTTAAAGCTAGATAGAGAAGTAACATAGCAAACTGATTTGATTTCATTCCCTAAAGTAACTGTGTTTTCAAAAAAGAGAACGGGACTTGATTAACGAGGCGAACGGCCGAGCAGGAAGGAAAGGGAGTCTGAGGAGGCGGCAGCTGCCAGGAGAGCAGGAGCAGCAGCAGCTTCTCCAAGAGCCCCCCCAGCTCCTCATCCTCCCTGGCCGCCTCTTCCCACCACAGCAGGGAACAAGAGGAGGAACAAGAGGAGCCTCCAGGTGCAGCCCACGACCTCCTCCTGCCTCATCCCTTCCCCTCCCTGGGCTGGATCCTCCTCGGCTCCAGCTCCGGGACAGGCAATCCTCCTCAGCTCCAGCCTCCAGCTCCGGGACAGGCACTGCTGGTTACTGCTAGTTAGGCTAGTTAGGCACATCTTTAGCTTAGGCTACCTTAGGCTAAAGATGTATAAAATCTTATACAAAATGGTCATCATTACAGAAAAGTAGCAGCCAGCCAAAAGAGCTAAACTCTGTGGAGAAAACCAGGAGTAGTTAAGCAATTCTTCAAAAATTTAGAGRTAATTAAATGGCTACTTCAAAAAAAGAGTTCCTAAGACACATCCCATTGACACGTGCATTTCAACAGAAAAATACAARTCATACTTCTTAAGCAATTCATAAAGTCCACTATATCTTACAAAGATCAAGCATACCATGGATAAAATGCTGTGCTTCAAAATGAAACAGAAATTACATCGCTACTACAGCAAAGTGCCGCAAAAGTCAATCTTACTTTAAGACTCAATTAGCACAAATCTTCCTATTATGAGGACGATTCCTTTAACTTCATTAATGCCAACAGCTTACATGAAAAAATAAAGTTCATCTGGAAGACAGGAAGTTTATTTATTTATTAAGTACAAGTTCTGCCTCTTTTTAATTACCTTGCTAAAGTAACTGAGCATTTAAGCTACAACTCTCTTTCTGGGCAAATTCAGAAGTGTTTCTGAACAATTATTCTAGAAGAGAAGGAATCAAAACCTCTGAAGAACTGAAGAAAATCTGCTGTGGTATAAACACCAGCTTGTAGAACTGTCTGGCTGATATATTTAGGAGAATTCACTTTGCTGGGCAATCACCTAAAACCTCAAACTCCTGTGGCGGTTTGAGCAATGACAAAAGTCATCTAAGAGGTACTAGCAAACACCAAAACGTACCTTTCTTTTAACTATCAGTACCTTTTAGTTGCTTTAAACACAGGAGAYGTTTCCCCCATGTAATTCTAAAATCTGAAAAAAATGTGCTAAAAAGCATTTTTGCATCAAATTCCACACACTAAATTATGCATTCAGCACAGTGTGATTACAGGTCAGAATATTACACATCTTTTACAAGCAATCCTCCTTAGTGTAACATAATAAATAAATATTTTTAAAGAGCTGAACAGTTTCAGAACTTTTACAGGTTACACTGTTTTACTGTGTTTTACTACAATTTTCTCAAGTTAATATCTGGAACATTAGAGAGAAACAAGAGGAGGAATCATTGGCAGGCCCTCCTGTTCACGGGTTAACAAGACCACAGCCAYATACACACACTGAGCTCAGTGTGCAGACACACACACAAGGGGAACAGACCCAGAGCTAAATAAAGACAATCCAGGCTAACTTCTTTCATCTCATGCAGCAGCTAAAACTACATCTATCTGTTCCACTAAAGCAGCAGAGAATAATGGCACTGAAACCACTGCTGAACTCAGAATCAGCAACACGTGGGAAGCCTTTTTTCTTTTTGGTGCAACTTCACTTGCTGGGTTTTAAGCAGAGTTCTCTTAAAAATCCTTTTCACATAAATGTGTCTTGCATCTGCAGARGAATCTGAGGAACATAAGATTGAAAACACTGAACTACACTTAAACAATACTGAAGATCTCAACACTGTCATTCTAGAAACAGGAAATATTTTAGACATTCTGTTTTGAAGACATTTTTGGATATTCTCTATGGGAAAAATACAAATGTACAAACTGCAAGGAACAGTCCAGGAAGTGAAACATTTCAGGAATGTGAACCAGGACAAAGTCACAAACAAATCCCTACTTTTTGATTTGCATACACTTTTTTTTTTTAAGATCAAATTCCAGTATCAACTTTAAGATCAAATTCCAGTATTTTTCTATGAGAACTTTAGCATTTTAAGTGTCTTTCATTTTTTTTTTTTCAGCTTTAAAGCTAGTCTGGAAAAACAGTCATCCTACAACTTCAAAAACACAGCAGGCAAAGAAATGCCACCCAAAACTGCTTGAAGAAACCCACAAAGAAAATCCCACCAAGCAAAYAAAAAGAAAAAAAATCCTATATATTAAACCACCATTAAAAATATGTTGGGAATTAAGAGATTTTCAGAATAGTAGGTTTTCACTTCAGTACAGAAACACACAAGACTGCACTTAAATTTGCAGTTTAAAATTATGCACTTAATCTGCAGTTTAGAATTCCCTGCCCTTCCCCTCCTTCAGCGACCTGCACAGCAGTGAATGCACAAGGAGGCAATGGAAGGAATCCTTCCTCAGGGGATACATTTCTAAAATGTGCCCAAAGATCTTTCAGTCCTTGCAGCTTCTTTTCAAATCCTTAGAAGTRTATTATAAACATGGGAACGTGTTTAAATAAATTATGAGAAAATTTATATCAAACAAACACCAAAAGTGCTCAGACTTTAAGAAACATTTGCAAATCTGCTCATCTGTTTTTTACTTTTAAACCACAGGCACTTCAGATTTTGATATCAGAAGAGACTCCTTGACCATTCTG